CAACTATAGGTCCAATAACATGTTCGTTACCGTAGATCTGTGCGTCATCCAGAGCGTAGTAGCCCTCGTCCAAAGCAGCCTTGACTGCTATGGGAGTGGAATCAGCATCGCCTTTCAGGTCCCAACAGCCCAAACTGACGGCAGGCATCATCACTCCATTTGAGAATTCTTGAACCAAAACACCCACCATAATTCCGTTCCAAAACTTACCAAACTGCGGAGACCAAGTGGAGACACCAGGACGTAACTGAAGCGTTACGCGCAGCTCCATACGGTCTACGCGCGTCGCCCAGATAAACCTCGAATGCCAACGTACTCGACATTCCCAACCACGACAAGTACCGGGAGGATGTCCACTCCACAGCCGGGCTGGGGCTTACTTCCTTCACGTATTCAAGACTCGCACAGCTCTCCCGCCAACGACTACAGCCCTGCACCTTCCGCTTCAACACCCAGTCAATTACACCCTTCGCAACCAGCCACCGACTTACTCCGTCTGTCGGTACCGTCTCTTGGCCCACTACCCTCGTGGCTGCCTCACCGGCCAACAATGTGGTTCAACAACGTGAACGGACGCCCCTCGCGTACTCCGCGCGTTGACAATGTTGTCATTCGCTGACTCGAGAGCCCTCGATCCGTCCGTAGCACCTTCCTCTCGGACGCCAAAGTCGAGGACTTCATCTCAGACGTTGCCACGAGAATGTTCCCAACTACTTGGCTAACACGTACGAGGCGATTGCGACCACTCAACCGGGAGACTTCTAACAACTCAGGGAACTCCTCAAACAACGACTGGCGTGAGACTCGCCCGCCGATAGGGTGCCACACAAATCACGCCAATTCCTTGAGCCGCGCATCCTTGACGTGACGTCTCCGCAGTGGAGGACTTGGTTTATGAACATGGGCATTGGGGCGAGCCTGTTCGACGTACGTCCTGCAGAAAATAACCAACCCCTGCAATTGGCAAGGGACGCCAGTGCTGGCCGTCGTTGCAACGGGGGAGAAAGCCCAAGAGCAACCAGAAGACGATATGGACTCTCCCCACGTCAAATAAGAACGAAGTGCGTCTGCTACAACGGCGGACCGCCTCTCCACTCCGGAGACCAGCTGAAGAAGGGTGCCCGGCACGCAACTCGTGCTGTGACAACTGCGGTCGAGTGGGACACTTGAGAAAGGTATGCCGTACTACATACTACCAGGACACATACGGAAAGCCCGTCCACTCTGCGATAGAAACTTCGCAAAGACGCCTCCAAGTCAAAGTAGGTGGCGACACCACACGCGGAGACAAGCTGGATACGGCCAGCAGGCTAATCGGGGCCGAGCGCACCCGATACGACAGCAACCGGCTGAAGGACGCCGAGCGTCGGAAAAGAGCGCCAGCGGGAGCCACCGAGATGCGGACTAACCTCGACGCGGAAGTCGAGCAGCCGACGAGAGCCCTCCTGACACGGATGAACGAGGTCGAAGCAGTCTTACTCAAAATCGCACAGGCCTCGGAAAGGCGGATGAGAGCCCTTTTCCGTGAAGGCGCAGGTACGCAATACTCCGGGGCCGAAGTCAATCTACTGAGAGAGATACGCCGCCGGCGACGAAGGTAGCAGCTGTGTGGGCACCCCGACTGCTCACCCTCCCTGCACCTCCGACAAAGGAAGACTTCGTCAAAGCATACGCCGAGGAAGGAACCCCAACATACCAGGTCGCCACTACAACGGCCTGTGGTGGGTCCATCTCAGGACAAAAAAGAACTACGTCCCCCGCCAGTTGCGCACACGACTGATCATTGCATTCGCTTCGGTCTGAGCGGCCATTTGGGAGTCGGGAAGACGCGCTAGAGGGTCCAAGCCCTATACTACTGGCCCGGCTGCGCTCATGACATCGAAAAAATTATCATCGAGTGGCTCATCTGCGTGAGATTGGAGAGCACCGGTGCACCAGCAAGGACTGCCGACAGGGCTGCTGGGGAAATCGGCCGCCAGGGACGTCGTACCACGCGACCCTCTGTATGATGGCCAAAATCGTTCCAACCTTCAAGCCATGCAAACCTTCTACCGGCGCTGAGTAGTCCCGTTCGGGCCCTGACGAATAGTGCGTACGCAAGAAGGCGTAGGAGGCATGGAGCTAACGGTAAATGCAGCCACCGCGGAGACAACGGCAACAGCGATGCCTCCAAACCCATCATGGACACGTTGGTAAAAAGTCCCTCAACCCATAACAAGCCAACGACTCGCATGGCATCGTGTGTCTTGCGCTTCTGCACCCAGACATTACGACGCGTCGAGCCAGACATTACACCGTTTCTGGGCCTACTTCTTCGTGGCTACCTTAGCGGCAAACAGGTTGGACATCCACTCCCGAATTTTGGGCATGATGATCGCAAAATGATTTAGGACCGCTCCGAACGTTGGACACGTTCACACGTAGGTTCGCACCTTTTGGCTGGCAAACTTGATACACCCGAACTCGCCACCACCAGCAGAGCGAGCACCCAAACTCTTCATTCCATTTAAGAAAAAGATCGGTCCATCGAGGTTGCTGCAGTTCGCACACTTGGCCTAGCACACTTCGTTGAGCGTAAATTTATCTCCGAGTATGTGGTTGCAACAAACTTTTACATTGAAAGCGAAGCCTCGTGGTTTTCATCTCATTACTGATGAGGTCCTCGGGCAGCTACCCCAACTTTCTGAGGTGCAAACTGGGCTGTTACATCTCCTACTACAACATACTTCCGCGTCGCTAACACTCAATGAAAACTGTGATCCGACTGTTCGTGGGGATATGGAAAGGCACTTTCTGAAGGCCGCGCCTGATAGCGCCTCTTATGAACATGATTACGAAGGTCCTGATGACATGTCAGCACACATTAAATCTTCATTGTTAGGAGTGTCTCTAGTGCTGCCCGTGAGCCGAGGGCAGTTACGACTTGGCACCTGGCAGGGTATCTGGCTGGGAGAACATCGTACGCACGGCGGCCCCCGCAAAATTATTGCGACCCTACAATGGGAATGACCACTTCAGCCATCTCGCGTGCCAGTTTTACACGTTGTGCTTCAACGTCGCCTTGAACTCTATTTTTCTCATACTGAGTTGAGAGACATGTCCGTGATCAACCCAGGCACGTGAATGTGGTTAAGCCGTTAGTTACGCACCTATTCATCCAAATTTTGTTACGCTACGACCACCGGATCTAATTACAAAAAATCATGGTGCCAAAAATTTCCAATTGTATTTCTGAACCTCCTGCGGATCATGAAAGCGCGTGTACTAACCTGAGAGGTAACGAGACGTTTAAAGTGCATTAAGCGATGTCATGAGGGTCTAGAACAGCTCTCCTTCCTGTGTTAAGTTTCGAGATGGCTTCCATGTCTTCTTGATCCAGCTTGAAACTCATAGTAGGACCGTAATTCTCTTTCACACGTTCTGCCTTAGTGGATCTGGGAAGAATCATGTAACCCTTCTGAAGGCACCAACGGAGAAGAACATTGGCAGCCGTGACCTTGTGTTTCGTTGCGATCGATTGAATAACTTCGTGTGCGATATTTTCGGCCACACATTTCGCACTGCCCAGGGAACTGTAAGACGTGAATATGATGTCGTTCTGCTTGCACAGCTGCTCAAGTTCATCGCCAACCTGGCAGAAGGCTGAGATCTCAATTTGGTTAACAAAAGGGAGCCGAGCGTGCTTGTCCCCAGCTGCTTTTCTCTTTTCGATATCTTGAATTAAGGGTTGCAGATGCTTCGCCATGTAGTTGCTTACTCCAATCAAACGGACTTTACCTTCTGCGTACAACGCCTCCAAAGTCTTCCAGCAGATGATCCTGGTCTCAGCGTTTCGCGGGTCACGGACAGAATTCTCATCCTTCGCCCATAAATAGTGGTTCCCAGGAAAATGAAGAAGTAGGAGATCAATTGAGGATCGCTTGAAGTCTTTCAGATGCTGATCGACTTGGGCTCGTATCCCCTCTGGAGTGAAATTGGTGCACCAGATCTTGGTAGTTACAAACACGGCACGGTCGTCTTCAGGCTTACCATGCGGCTTTTCGAACGACTCCAGAAACTTGTCTTCCGAGACGACCTTGAAGGGCGTTCCGTCTTGAGTAGGGTCGAACTTGGCGACC